TCTGATGTAAACTCATTTCCCCAGGTGAGAGACTCCCTGAAGTCTGTAAGCTAAGGCTTCATAGACAATGTTTCAGTAGGGTGCTTGTCATATCTAAGAGAGGGAAGGGCAGATGCACGTGTATTGAGGCCTGAGCAACAACTGGGTTCTAACATTGCATTCTTATACTGATGAACTGTATAAAATACCCCAAGACACCATTCCCACACAGCCTAGGGACATGCAGGCTAGCAGGCACCTAGAACCCCTGCTTTGGGAATAGAATACCAGGCTCTAACTCCAGCCAGTTCAGGAGAGACTGGGATGTTCATTGTGGCCATCTTATACCTCCACCTTACCAGTCTTCCCTGGACAAGACCCACTGGGAGACACTGGGATGGTGGGGGACTAGCACGAGACTCCTATCCTGTGTGGGGAGGAAGTTGATGTCCTGACTTCCTGTGGCCTGAAATGCCCGAAATGCCAGTATAACCCGATGCTATTGATTCTGCTAGACTGCATGGGACATCATTTCTTGCCTTTGTGGCTTTTGTTCCACCACCTCTCCACTCTCTTCAAATGAAGAGCCCAAGAACCCAAGATCTCACATTTTTGTTCACTCTTAAAGTAGTATTGCCCAGCAGGAACATAACGTAAGCCGTATGAGACATGATGGCAGCTTAGTTGTGTCTTAAATCTTATTTAGTCCAATTCAACATATTCAATATGTTCTGAGTGATTGTTCACAATTCATAGAAATTACAAATAAGGTATTTGTCCATAGTGAGAACAATATTCTCCTTCAGCTTCTACAGTGAAGTACCACAAACTGAGTTGCTTAAAACAGTAGAATTTAGCATCCCACATTAAGGAGGCTGGGTGTCAGAAACCAAGGTGTAGGTAGAACCCTGTGAAGGCTTGAGAGAAGTCTTCCCACTCTTCAAGCCTCTCCCAGCTTCTCTGGCTGAGGACAACCCATGGTACTCCTTGGCTTGTGGCTGCATCACTCCAGGGTCCACCTCTTCCATCATGTGTGTGTGTGTGTGTGTGTGTGTGTGTGTGTGCGCGCGCACATGTGCGCACATTCGCACATTAACATGGCTTCTTACAAGAAAACCTGTTCTGGCTTTATAACCCACCATAAACCAGTAAGATCTCATCATAATTAGTTACAATACAAAGACCCTCTCTTTTCAAATAACATCACATTCCAAGGCCATGGAGACAAGGGACACAGTTCAGGCACCATTTTAGACCCAGACTTACCTAGTTGCTGAAGTCAGTGACCCTGCATCCATCCGAGTTTTGGCCCCCCTTGACTCTGTTGCTGTCATTTATCCTTCTGTTGTCTTTGTCCCTTTGTTCATTTCATGGGCCTTGGAGTGGGGCCAGAGGTAAAAAGAAACAGTTGAGATTAATTTTAATGCCATATTGTAATCTAGCCCAATATATCTAAACATTATCATTTCAACATGTAATCTTTGATGTCTAGAAAATCATTTGATGTGCTGTGTTTACTTTTTTTCACACTAAGTCTTTAAAAATCCCACAAGTCTTTGATGATCACAGCAGTTTGCCCACATATGAAGAGTTTAATGAGCACATGTGGTTAGTGGCCATCTCTATGGAAGGTCATGAAGTTAGGAAAACATGAGGCAAGGTCTCCGGTGATGCTGGGGACATCCCTTTGGAGGCCCACTGACCCCAAGGGGCAGCAGTTACTAGACAGCTTCACATTCGTCAACTTCTGGTTATTTGTCACCTTTGACAGATGGCTGTCTCTTGCAGTGGAGGGAGGAATTCAGATAGGCAAGGACACAGGACTGCGGTATCAACCCAAGGATGGCATTGTTCATTCATAAGAAAGATGAGCTCCTGAGTACTCCCACCCCTTTTCCCAGGAAACACTGTTCTTGAGTCCTAAGTACCTGGCCTCAGAAGAAAGAGATGTCTCTACAGAAGGTGGCTGACAATCCAAGGCCCCCACCTCCCCAATAGAAACTCTCTCCTTGCTGGAGGACTCACCCAGCATCTCTGTACCGGCATAGTCAAATGGATGTGATCATGAGACTAGGGAACAGCTCTTTCCCACACCTTTTTGTAGCCTTAGATATGTCAGTCATGCTGGCCTGGGGCTCATTCTGTTCCCTTTGGGGGAGACTTTGCCTTCATCTGCTTGATTCCCATGTGACAATGTTATGGTTAACTCTCAATGATCTACCTCATCGTCCAAGGAATGGGCTCCCCGGTTCTGCACCCCCCAATTCTCTATTCTTCATCCTCTTGGATTCTGCTCCATGTCCTCTGCATTTTTCTGAGAAAACCGGCTCTAGCCAGAATCCACACCTGCGAGCTGACCCCAAACATATCATATCTGCCTCTGGACTCTGCACAGAGAAAAGGTTCCCACCCAGCCCTTCTCCAGAGCACCGTCTACCTGTCCTGGCACCAGTCACAATGTTCCTGAGCTTGGGAGCAGAACAGCAGTTGACTCTTGCAAACTCCATCAGACATTTCCCTGGGTAGAACATGAAGCAGAGAGAGTGAGATCAGAGGATGTGGGGTCTCGTGCAAGACAGCTGCTGCCAGCGCCTCAAAGATGCACACACTCGAGCGCGCGCGCGCGCGCGCACACACACACACACACACACACACACACACACACACACACCTTGAGAGTTTTCCAGTTCCTTTCTTCAGTGCCCGGACCTCATGAAATGTGACTCAGCCTTACATAAGAGATGGGAATTTGAGGGGGACAAGGCGAGTGATGATGACTCAATGCCTTGAAATTTCCAGTGGATTACACATGTTTTCTTAGATGATTTAAAGGAATTCATTGTCAATGACAGTCCAAAGAACAATTGTTTCAGCAGGCAGACTGGAGTGTGGATCCTGAGTCAGAACGAAGAATGTTTGTGATGGGCAGAAGAGGGTAGAGGATAAGGACATGGCTTCAGATGTCCTTACGAGATGCAACAAGTCCTTACAATCCCATAAGGGCTGGGAAGATGGCTAGGCGGATAAAGTACTTGTCATGCAGGTGGGAGGACCAGAATTCTGATTCTTGAAACTCATGTAAAAGCAGGGAAGCTGTGGCAAGTAGCCCAGCAGTCCGTCCATAATCCCAGCCCTTGGGAGGCAGAGCTGAGAGAGCCTGCCTCAATACATAAGACAAAGAGTGGTAGAGTATGACACCTGACGTCAACTGCAGGCCTTCACATGTATGAGCACATGTGTGCAGCTTCACTTATGCACATGGATGCTCACACACAGGCAAACACACCCACATGCACAGATAAATAATAAAAATTTCATTAAGTATTTTTTTTAGATTTATTGTTTATTTATTTAGTATGTATACAATGCTCTGTCTGTATGTATGACTTCTACAGGCCAGAAGAGGGCACCGGATCTTATTACATATGGTTGTGAGCCTCCATGCGGTTGCTGGGAATTGATCTCAGGACCACTGGAAGAGCAGCCATGCGTGGGTGTGGGGGGGATGTGGGTGTGTGCGCACGCACACCCTCACAGGATGTCAGGATGACCAAATGGTCTAAGATACCAGACTCAAACCATATATAAACTTAAGAATTTGACAGACATTTGAGAGCTCGATGCCAAGGCCACAACCTATAAGCATGTGAACCTGGGAACCTTTTCTTCAGTCCCTAGCCCCACCTCCCAGCATGCAGGGACTTTTGGAATCCTTGTAAATCTGCACTGTGTGGGATGTCACCTTTCCTGGTCACCTCACATAAAGAGTTCAGGTTTTAATTACAACTTGCTGTTCACAGAGCCCTGCTTCAGTGAGCAACAGATTAATAACTTTGGAACTCACGTTATGAATAATGTACCTCATTGTGTCAGGCAAGGGTCTCTAGAGAAACAGAACCAATCACGGGGCGGGGAGGGGTGGGGGGTTGCTAGAATTGCCATCTGGATGCTAGAGAGCCTCAGAAATGGGGAGCTGTTCTGTCCATAAAGCTAGGTGCCTCTGCAGGTCAGTCTGGTGTGGAAAGTGGCTGAAGATGACTTGAGAGAAACTGATCATCAGTCTGTGTCAGGACCTGAAGAGACTATGGTCTGATAATGCATGGCAACGGCAGTGACAGGATAGATGCACTTGCTTGGTAAGAAGCAATGATGGGCATGCATCACAGCCTTCTCCTCAGACTTGTTTCTATGTAGGCCACTCAACAGAAGGCACAACCCCATGCTCCAAGCAGGCTCTTCTCTGCACACTGCAAATGTCCTGGCAGACTCATCCAGTGGATTGCAGATCCCATCGAGTTGACAAGCAAGATTAACCACCACATTCATTTATTACGCGCATCCCTGCGAGAGCTGTTCACATTTATTCTCCCCTTTAAAGGGTTATGAACCTAAATAAAAATTGGCCCTTGGCAATAGACCGTGTGACTCATGAACTCATAGTTTGATCATCTTCTTATTTGAACCATATGTACAACTGAAGTCTAGGCAATGAAAAGGGAAGGATTTGGCTCTAAAAGTTGTTTGGATATTTACAGTATTTCCAAAAAAGAAGGAACAACAGGGGCCTATAAATGAAGGTCAGACAAATAAAGACGTGCTACTCCTTCAGAAAGACTCCTTCGTGAGACCATCATACCTCAGGTGACCATCAAAACTGCTACTGTGAAGAAAGGGAAACGGTTCCTTTACAAGATGATGTCAGGGTCTCCTGGAGAGCCTCAGACCAACCCAGAACCAGGAAGACTCTTGGGAAAAGAAATGAGACGCCACTATGTAAAGCCTGGATGGGCTAAGAGGAAACACAAAGTGTGTGTGTGTGTGTGTCGGGGCGGGGACCAGTATAGTACAAAAGAAAGAGAAGGGATTTGAGGATTGGATTGGGAATGAAGCTGCAAGAGAGGAGGTAGGCAGGAGAAGCAGCCATCAAGGATGGCTGAGGCCATCAGAGAGATGTGGACCACTCTAAGTCAAGTGTGGTATGGCCACCATCCCCTCTCGTCCTCCACATTAGTTAGTGACCAGGGCCCAGTGGGTTCCAAACACCAAACACCCAGAGGCAGCCCGGCCTCCATCTGCCGGCCCAGGTAGGCCAGGAACTGTTTCCAGTTCCAGTTCATCGTCGCTGCTCAGAGTCATCTGACACAGTGACCATACTGAGTTCGGCAGCGGGATCCGACACCCCGAGGCCTGATGACAGCTCTGCCTCCAACTGCCCTCCCAGCGGGACTCGGCACACCCAGACATTGCCAACACCCGGGTAACAGTGGCACCTCCATCCACATGAAGAGAACGGACATCAGAGTATTGGATCTGTTTGCATCTACCAGAAGGGAAATGTGGTCCCACACCCACCAGGAGAACAAGAAACACTTGCTACCCCCACCAGAAGAAACGATGAGAAGAGGACAAGATAAAAGCACATCCAACAACAGAAAACCCAATATGACACCACTGGAGACTAGGAACCATACACCAGTAAGACCTCAACATCACAATGCAGATGAACCAGAAGAGAATAAAGACGTGCTACTCCTTCAGAAAGACTCCTTTAAAACATCTTTAAAAACTTTAAAGACTTTAAAAGACTAAAAAGACTTTAAAAACATCTTCAGGAAAATGATAGAGGAACTCAAAGAGGACATGAGAAAATCCCTTAAAGAAATTGAAGACAAAACAA